CTGTGTGTAGAGAGGTCGGGCCGTATTCATTATTTCTTGGGGTTGCATACGTACGCGTGTAATGAGCAAGTTTATTGTGACGGCACTAAACCCATCCCACTCATTGTTTCCCTATTTTCATAATGGTACTGACCCAATGAAATGGCCGATGCTGCTTCATATTTAATTTTTTAGATTTCTCAATCTCAGATATAGTCTAGGCCTATACATTTTTTTTTGTACAGTAAATGATCTCAAATCTCAATGGTATATGAAGTGATAATGTCATAGAGAGCATCACATATTTTCATACTTTGCCATACTTTACTAAAATTAGCTTAATTTCATTGCTAGAATCAAACTCCTCGAAGAAAAGATCTAAAACAAAGACAAAGTCAAGAACACCAATTCGCTCTTTCTCCGTCCACATCTACAGTAGATTTGATATACATACTACGTTGTGCTGCTGCGCTGGTCGGGATTAGTCTGAACTTTTTAACAAGTTAGTACTAGGGTCTACTCCATTTATCTTATTTTCCAATACTTTCAGGCAAAGCAAATGATAGGTCAAAATTTTAAAAATATTAATTTTTATGTAAACATATATTTGAAATATTTTCACTTACCAAAAGAGGGTCAAAATGCCCGGTCAAAAGGTTGCAGTAAAGACTCTCGAGTTCAGAAAAGTAAGATGTATAATGTAGTGCAGTGCGCTCGTACGCGCTGCGCTGCGTGTACGTGTGTACATGTAACTCGGCTAGCCTGGCACAAAACCCTGGGGTCGGGCTTCTAAAATGGGACATGAAGCATGATTTGACATGAAAATTGACGGGGCAAAAAATGAACCAATCAAAATGAGCTTTATATGTATGAACAGGCGCGTACGCAGGGAGGGGGTGTTTCGGGGGTTAAACCCCCCCCCCCCCCCCCCTTTGGTATTTTTATGTGTGTAAACTCCCCTCAGAAATCCCTAAAACCCCCCTTTGGATTTTTTTTTTTTTTTTAATTATTTAAAAAAAAAAAAAAAAAATACTCCCATGGCTGACCTAAGAACGGTGACCTTACCCCCCCCCCCCCCCCCCCAACGGAGCGAAATGTCAAATTTTCAAATTTCGAGACAAAAAAAAAAAAAAAGTGTCCTCTTACTATTATTTCCTCCTTCTAGTCCTAAAACCATATCTTACTGGTTTCATTAAATCGATATCCATTCCAAAGTGGTCCTGTGGATAAGACTGATCGCTTGACAATGCTATGTACACGGTTCGACTCCCGGCTTCTCCTTTATACCCATGTTATTTGTATCATTTTTTTCTTCATCCTTTGATATTGACTTGTCCATCGTTTTTTTTAAAGGGGACACCCCCACATCCTCAACACAGGAGAAAATAACATGTAGCAGCCCTATGTATTTACCAATCATTTTCGTAATGTGTTTCATTTTCCAGAACTTCAGTCAGGGCTCTCGCTCCAGCATTGCACAAGCACAGGCACGTACGCAGGAGGGGGGGGGGGTTAACCCCCCCCCCCCCCCCCTTTGATTTTGATTTTGATTTTTTATTTAAATAAAAAAAACAAAAAGAAGCCTAATGGATGACTTAGATGACCTTACCCCCCCCCCCCCAACGGAACGGAATGCCGATCGGTCAAATTTTCAAATTTCGGGACCCCCCCCCCCCCCACACAAAAATATTTCCTCTTACCCCCCCCCCCCCCCCCCCCACCTTATTTAGCGGCTGGCTGAGTCGTTGCGAAATTTTTGGCTCGATTTCAAAATGTTACCCCCCCCCCCCCTCCCTTGAAAAAATCCTGCGTACGCCACTGCACAAGCCTATATAACCAAGAACTGAGAATGACTTCATAATCTCAATTCATATATTTAATGATACACCTGTAGATATGATTCTATTGGTATATTATAGAGGAAAATCTAATGACAATCTTGGTCTAAACAATAATACTAGATGATATTTCTAAAGAGAGAAATGTTCCTTGCACGGTGTCTATAATGTATATCAATACAAAAAACTTGACTGCCAGAGCGCGGGCTGGAGCGACCATGAAAAACACATCGTTACATTAATCTCCAAAAATATTGGCATACTGTATAAAATAAAATGTTTTGTTTCTGATAGAAAACTTATACTTATGCTATATAATAGTCTAATTTTACCACATATTTTGTGGGCAACATCCAAGTAAAATATTCTTCTGCTGCAAAAGAAAGCTGTGCTCTATCATAAGATAAGATAAGATAAGATTTTATTCGTCTTTCTTTCAAATGACATACAGAGCATAACATTGGATCATAACACATTTACAATGTAAAATAACAAATTATGGTAATGATAAAAACAAAGTTAACTAAAAGAAAGACGAGGAGACCCTGGTAAAAGCAGAGCTTGTAATTATTAGGGTCCCCTCTGAGCCGGATAAAACATGATGAATAGATATTTGTGACTACCTAAGAATACAATAGGGAAAAGGGGGTATAACAAAACAACAAGTGTACACACACACAACAACAACAACAAAACGAGAGACGAGACTAGACAAGACGGGATAAAAGAGAAAATATGAGAAATAATAGAAGACTACAGCACATCGACAATAGGCACAGCACACAACGGGCACAATACAACAGGGGGAGGGAATAAGAGGTTGACAATCTGAAAATATTCAGTTAGACACATATTAATATCAAGAAGAAAATTTACATCTATAGTAATACATAATATATCTTGGCACCATAATAACTACAAAAATGAACTACTCTATGAGTCACAGTATTTATTGAGAAGATAAACCTTAAGTTTACACTTAAATGAAGAGAGACTAACAGATTGCCTAACGCTATAGAGCCTAGAGAGTTCCAAAATTTAGGTCCAGTAAAAACCAAAGTATTAAAATTTAACTTTGTCCTTACTTGGGGTAAGTGAAACGCAGAGGCATTACGTGTAGCATGGTCATGAACTTGACTATTTTTCTTTAAAATGCTGACTAGAGCCTGTGGAAGGACACCAGAATCGAAGTCGTACATTAAAGAACCCAGTTGAAGGTGATAAATATCTTGGACCTTTAAAATTCTATGCGTATAAAAAAGCGGATTAGTGTGCGTACGAAAGCTAACGTTACAAATAATTCTTAAGACCCTCTTTTGAATCAAGTATACCTTTTCAAGGTTAGTTTTAAGAGAGTTACCCCAAGCAAGAACACCATAATTAAGATAGGGGAGGATTAATGTTGAGTACATTAATAGAAGGATGCCTTTAGGTAAAATTGATTTCAATTTATGAATTACGCCACTGTTTCTTGACAATGTCTTATAGAGATGATTTACATGAATTTTCCAACTCATTTGCTCATCAATGTGCAAACCAAGGAATTTTGTTGATAATACCCTATCTATCAATACATTATTAAATGATACATCTCCTGGAAGCACTTTGATTGTATTACTAAAAAACATATAATTTGTCTTTTGCAGATTTAAATACAATTTATTTGCTTGGATCCACAAAGTAACTTTACTTAGTTCGAAATTAACCGTTTCTAACAGAGTTTGTGAATTTTTGTGTGAATAGTACAAGCTGGAATCATCAGCAAATAAAATGAATGACAAAATATCAGATGAGAAATGAAAGTCATTATATACAATAAACCAAGGAGAGGTCCCTGAGGAACGCCGCATGTGACATTCTGTAACCCTGAATCAAAACCGTTTAAAGAAACAAAATTGTTTCCTGTCAGCTAAGTAGCTAAGTCCAGAGCTGTGCCCCTGACACCATAATGCGATAATTTCCCTAGCAAAATTTCATGATCTATAGTATCAAATGCCTTGGAATAATCAAGAAATATACCGATTATGTGCATCTTTTTGTCTATTGCTTGTGAAATCTTATCTATAAAGTGCAGCAAGGCATGAGAGGTAGTATGTTTCTCTCGGAACCCAAACTGAAAATTTGAGAATATTTTACTTTTGTTGAAAAATTCTAAAGTTCTAACATAAATCACTTTCTCAAGGATCTTTGAGAAGGAGGTTAGAAGGGAAATAGGACGGTAATTTGAAAAAGATTGCGGATCACCCTTTTTAAAAACGGGTACGACTTTTGCAATTTTCATGTTTTCGGGGACTATTCCATTTAACATTGATAAATCATAACATGAATAAGGGGTTGAATAATCGCTAACCTGTTTAATTATGTCATTATTGACACCATCGTAACCAGGACTTTTCCCAGCCTTAAGCGAATTCACAATAGTAAGCAACTCTTCCCTAACTAATGGGAAAGGAATAAGCTTTTCTTGTTAGATTCTTTCAGGAAATCGTTAAAAGATTTTTGACAGGAAGGGACCGCCCGTGACAGATTAGGACCAATACTGCAAAAATAATCATTGAATTTTTCCACAATAATATTCTTGTCTTCCACTAAACGACCATCAATTTCAATATTCTTTACATCAGAATTTTTTTCTTTGACTTGAACACATTTCTTATCACTTTCCAAGTTCCTTTGATATCGTTTGAAGTTGCTTGAAACTGAGCAAAATAATATGTTTTCTTTGCTGCACGCAAGACTGAAGTAAGGGAGTTTTTATAATCAACATATCGTTTACGTGAAAACAAAAATGGAATAGCCAAGCTTCCCTATTCATTGGTGCCACGTTATAGAAAGAATTCGACCCATACTGAAATTAATTTGTAATCTGAATCTTTTTTAAATTTTTTTAAAAATTCCAATCCATCATCAAGATCTACTCAGCGTCTATCGTTGTAGTTGAAGAGGACGAAAGAGGGTGCTGTTCCTGTTGTATAGTTGCATTGAACAGGGGATTTTTATATTTTGATATTCACGCATTAATGGATTTCCAATGCAAGTATAGAAATAAGAAGCGAAACGGCTGTAAATAAACCTACAATGTGTTAGACGTATACCCTATGAGTTGCAAAATTATCTTTTTCTTTTTCGATTGGACGTTTCGTAGACACTACAGACCCTATAGGGTGTATGCAGTCAGTGTCTTTTTAAACGTAACCTAGCCATCCTAGCGCTGCGTATTAATATTTGAATATATCATGAATATTTATGAATAGCGCATGGCGTATAAATTCCTTTTGAGCCAATCAAATGCAGCGGTAGGATGGCTAGGTTACGTTAAAACAAATTACATACAGTCTACACACGTGTGATACTTAGAGCCGGGTATTCATTTTTCTAGATCTAATCATGCGAAAATTAAAGTATCATGAGCAGAAGTTGCTTAAGAAGGTTGATTTTATATCATGGGAAGTAGACAACAATTTACATGAAGTTAAAATTATGCGGCGATACCACATTCAGAAGAGGGAAGATTACACTAAGTAAGTGCAAATTGTGATTCCTTTTTCTGTTTCTTTTCTTCCTCCTTCTTCGCTTTAGTTTCCTCCATGTGCCTCCAGTCGTCCTTACTAACCGAAAACTGGAGTCTCTGATAAAATTATAATAAAGGATTTAGATCTAACTATGCTGGACTATGCGGTTCCGGAGGACTTTGGATACATTTTATAAGCCTGGAAAGGGAAAACATGATGTAAACAATGCACTGTAACTAGCTTGCACTAGCGGCGGCGCACGGATCGGAGCTGGCCGGCCATTGCCGCCGGGCGCGCACCGGCCGAAACAAGGGTACGGTGCTCCTGCACCTGGTGGTGCCTCCGCTCTGGCCGCGCGAGCGTTGGATAGGCGTTGTCAGCGGTGTCTGGTCAGGTCGCCGCCCGCCTCCGCAGTCGCCTCCTTACGTAGTCGCCCCCATGGTGTGGTCGGGTCGCCTCCTATACGCAGTCGCCCCTCTCTGTGAATATAATGCATTAAAACGCAACGAATTTCCTTCTGGACCAATAACATTGATTTGAATTTAAGAGTTCCACCCAGGGCCCCAACCAATTTGAAAAAAAATATAATAGATATGACTCTGGGGCACGTTTCACTTTCATGAAACCAACTCCAGATCCATGACAGTCGTATCTTTGTCGGCGACCTACGGAGATGTTACTTGTTACTTGTAGAGATAATCCCGATGGCAGCTATCATACAGCTAAACTGGGATGTCCGTGCAACGTGCTGGCATAGTGACAGTGCATGAAGTAATTCAAAACGGTGAATGATGTCTATTATTTACAATAAAACAGTGGACGTGCAAGTAAAAAACCGAGACGTGGAGTCTACAGTAGCTTGGACCCAACAGGAGGAGGCAACGCTCTGATGATGGGTAGAGCAGCCTCCTGGAAGATGGTCACTGTTGGAGATGTTACTGCAGCAGCTGATAGGTGGTTCCACGTCCAGATGGTGCGAGGATAGAAGGAGTACTTAAAGCTATCAATGGAAGCTGGGGGTACTGCATACTTCAGAGGGTGATCATTTCTGCCCAGATATGTAGCTGGGATAATGTGAGTGGGAAAAGGCATGTTGAGTTGATGATGGTGCATCTTGTAAAACAAAGTGGACTGCAAGAAGCCTGCGGTTGTGAAGGGTATCCCATCCCAGTTTGTTGACAAGTGCTGTGACTGATGTTATTCTCCGGTAGTCTTGGTATACAAAACGGGCGGCAGCTCGCTGTACTTTCTCAAGACTTTGTATTGGCCTTCTCACGCTGTGCTAGCAGTTCTGCCTTCTCCTTCTCCTTCTTGGCCTAGATAGTAGTCTATGCATAGACCTAATTCTATGTTGTTTGAGCTTGGGCCAAGGAATTAGGTCTACGGAATTAGGTCTACATGTCAGACTTGCAACAATAAAAAAACGTGTGATGACTCGTGTTGTATCAAGTCCTGATCTGTTGCCACTCTTTTTCAACTGGACTATCCCAATTTTTGTAACGCTTTTCTCGTTACCTTGCAGGTATAACAAACTAAGCCGTCATGTGAGAACTCTTGCCAATAAGATTAAGCAGCTAGACAGCAAGGATCCCTTCAGAAATCAGTGCACCAGTCAGATGTTAAAAAAGTTGTAAGTCACATACAATCTCTAGGAAATTCATAACCTTGCTTTTTCATCTCCTTCTTCCTCTTCCTCTTGCCCTTCTTCTTATTCTTCCTGTTTTTCTTCACCTGGGACCCGTTTCACAAAGCCTTTTTACAATTACAAATGACAAATATCAGTGACAAATCTGCTGATAATCAATCAGAAGCAAGGATTTCAGTAGCTTATAACAACAACTGTCATTTGTCACTGATGACAAGTTTTGTGAAATACCCCCCAATTTGACTCACAATTCCACTTGCCTTCCCCAGCTCAACATTCACTCTGGAAACTTCAAACTAAATTCAAATCATAGGTGCTAGATAATGATGCCATTGAACAGGTGGATGAAACTTGTGTTATTATTACAACTAAATATTTCTTTAAACAAAAAAAATCTTGTCTTTTAGAAATTCAGCTCAAACAAATTTTTCAGAGATGAAAGTGAATTACAGTGAAAAAAGATAGTGGTAACAAAAATTGTCAAGTAGGTTGATTTTGTTTTTATGTATACACCCTGTACCTGTTATTCTATTGTGGATAAATATCTTTTACCACATTTTGTCCTGGAATTTATCTCTCTATTAAATGAGTTTCTAAAAGTAGTGAAAATATTGTGAAGAAGGAAAGTTCATTGGGTTTAAAGAGAAGATTGAGTTCTGGGAAGAGGTGAACAATAATTTGTGAGCGTTATCATTGTTATTATGCAAGTGTGGAAGAAAATCAGATAAACATGTTCCGTGAAAAGCATGTTCTTCAAATGCCTTCATATTCTAAATATGGCATGTAACATAGTAAAAATCGGGACAGATTTTTACGCCACGTGTTCGTGTAGTCCCATATACATCCTTCTGTGTACAGTGCTTGTAACTTTACCAAGACCTGGCCAAATTTCTTATCATTTTGATGAATCCAGAACCTTGCAATACACACGAATACTTATATGCTAGATGATCAACCTTTTCCGATTGATTCCACATCGTTTCTTTCACAATGCAATTGCATGACCAAAACTCAACTTTATCTTTAAATGATGCCCAAGTATGTTTTGTCATCTTAGTCTTTGAGGAAAGTGAAGGTATACACATACTTTTCACAGAAGATATAGATATTTTGTATCTCGGTTTTATTATTCATCAGTCACTAATTATAACTCATGAATGAAATATTTTTCTACAACATGTAGGTACAACATGGGCATCGTACCAACCAAACAGAATCTAGCCCTCTGTGATAACGTGTCAGCATCATCATTCTGTAGAAGACGGCTTCCTGTTGTCATGGTGAAGATAAAGATGGCGGAGACGGTGGAGTCGGCAGTAAAGTTTGTTCAGCATGGCCGTATCCTTTTCAAATGTAGTGTGTATAGATTCAAAAGACTGCATGGAAGGTCACTCTGATTAATTCAGGGTTTGCAGCCATCATGAAAAACAATGATACCCATTTAAATTGTCAAACCGAAAACCGTCCTGTTTTGACTAGCGGTTAAACGGAACTGGAAATATCCGTGATGTTTCAACACTAGTTACGGTATTACTATAAAAAGATGATCCAGCTACATTTTGAGGCTACACGTAGTAGGTCACGATCAAAGTTGTTGATTGATATTTGATTATAGGCTTTTTGTTTTCATTGTGATGTGTTTCCAACCATTTCTTATACTGAGTTTAGGGCAGAGGCATATACATGTAGGAGGTGCAGTCACATTTTCTTGTTCTTTTTTAATGTTACTTTATCTCATTTTGGGGGGTTTTATTTTTATGGGGGCTGCATTCTGATTCACATTGTAAATACATGTATAAGGATGCCTGGAATGTACCAATTTCAAAACACTGAAAACAGATCTGTTTTTCTTTTTATGTCCGTCCATTTCCTTGACTAACTTTCTTCAGATATTAGGGTTGGACCAGAATTAGTCTTAGATCCAGCCTTCCTTGTTACCAGGTACAATTTTTTTTTAAATATTGACCCAATAAAAAATATCAGTCTCGTAATTGTGTGACTCGTGAGACAGGAAACATGACTTGCTTGCCTAAGTTTGATTCTGCTGTTGAAAAAATAGGCATAACATGAATCAGGTAATCTATAAGATGAAGAACCAAGATACTATAAGGGTAAGAGGAAGCTGTAAAATGTTCAAAAAATCTCCTTTGAATATCAACATATATAGAGTACCGAAGCTGTGACATCATAAAAATCTTTTGGGGGGATTTCTCAATTTTTTCTTAATTTTCCCAAAGAACATTAAAAAATAATGTCCAAATTTTGAAAATCAATTGAATATGTTAATTATTGGCTGAGATATGACCATCTGGATAAATATATGTCCTATGGGAACTCAGTGTTATAGTGCTGTGGTTCCTAATGTTATGAACCAGAGCACTATAACACTGAGTAGCCGTAGGACATATATTTATTCAGAGGGTCATATCTCAACCAATACAGAATATATTCAATTGGTTTCGACATTCAAACATTATTTTTGATGATGTCACACTTCACCACTCTATTGTCCTGTAGACAATCGCACTTAATCAGTAATGATAATAATAATAATAATAATAGGTCAATTTATATAGCGCAGCTACTATATGAATATACTCTACTGCGCTTAATACAAAGTATCATATACCCCGGCTGTAGCTGAGCTGCCATGATAAAGCGCTAAAGCATTTCAAGGAATTTCAATTGCTGCCAGGTACCCATTTACATTATTTGGGTTGAGTGTGGCAAATGTAGATCAATGTCTTGCCAAAGGACAGTACAGATCTATGGATGCACTTTTACCATTTCCTAATCCATTACCTTAATCTTCATAATTCAGGTCAAATTTTTATCTCATAAACACTTGAAAATTAGGGGATCATGGTGGGTAGCAGAATTTTAGGTATGCATCACCAAGTATCTCACAGGTTTCTTACGAAGAATGAGTGGATAACCATATTCAGCGCAAATATAAAACAATCTATATTTTCCATCAGTGCCATTTTTTTCCACCTGTGCAATTTTTTTCACCTGTGCAATTGACTCAAACAGTTGAAATATTTTGCATCCAAACTTAGTGGTTCTTATAGTTATTTGAAAGAATAAAGGTTCTTGGTAATGCATGTGATAATAAAGAACACAGCCAACCCCAATGTATATAAGTTTTCTCACCTACTTAATGAAAAGTGTACTCTAGTGTGGCTCTACATTGCAGTTTTGTGCAGTGCGATAATCTTTATTACACGTAAAATCCCATCTAGAGATTTGAGCGAGAGAAGTGAAAAAACTTTCTGCCATCGCTTTCTAAATGTAGAGAAATTTATACAATTCAAATATACCTTTTCTTCCTCTTGTTTGTGTTTGATTAGATCGATGGAAGATTTTGTAACGTGGACAGATACATCAAAGATCAAGAAACACATTGTTGAATACAATGAGGAGGTAATGTTTTAAACATGATACTATCTGTTGAGTGCAGAAGGGCATTAACTTATATGATTTACACAGAGTCAATTTCCTTCTGGCTCTCAATATACTTTGTATTAATTCAAACTATACTCAAAACATGTCTGTTGGTAGCTAACTCCTACCGGGTAATTAAAAAGTCATGACTATTATAAATTTGAAATCTATTTCATGATTAAATTTTAAGTGTAACTTGTTTTCTGTCCAACAATACCCTTTTCATAATATTTCTTCCAAGTGTGCCGGAGTCCGGGGGGGGGGGGGGGGGGGGGGTGTTTCACAAAGATCCTAAGTTGGACTTGACAATTATGGAAAGCCGTTAGCATCTTTGAAAATATTTTGTAAAAATTATTTTAAAAGGCATAAAATGTTGATTCAAATCATTCATATTTTCTATTATCATGGGAGATTTTATGTTCTTGATGTAGAATTTATGAAAAGTCTAACATACTTGAATTCTTGCTTTTTAATATATTTTATTTTAAGGCTACAAATGGCTCTCCATAACTTTTAAGCCTAACTTAGAGTTAAAGGTATAGACCAGTTTTGGAAACGCCCCCCTCTCAAAAAATGAAATGGAAGCTCTATTACCAATCATGTGAAAGAATATGTTTTGACTACAGGGAATAATTTTCCTCAAATTTTTTGATTAGCAATTTCAGCCGATGGATAAATATTTCAAATGAAATTCTGTACATTTCTATGGAAGAAAACTGCTACACAAAAGATATTTTGTATAGCAGTCATGCAAAAATGCATAGCAAATTGCGATGCGATACCAGGAAAATTATTCCCTGGACTAATACGAGATGATATAAATTTTGCTGGGGAACCGCTTCTAATTGATGTATTTGGTAAATTATGATATCGATCCGGACCGGATGGATATCGCGCACGTGTCGCGTAGTCCCATGTACAACTTTCTGTGTACAGTGCTTGTAACTTTACCAAGAATGGGCCAAATTTCTTATCATGTTTATGATTCCAGAACCTTGCAGTACACACCAGTACTTATATGCGTTTCTGATTGATTCAACAACGTTTCTTTCACAATGCAATCGCATGACCAGAACTGGTCTATACCTTTAAAGGTGAAATTCAAAGAAAATCACAAATATGTCAACTAATGTATCACTAGAAACTGGTAAGCTAACAGATGGCCATCGTACAAGTTTTAGGTCAACTACATATCGGGTGATTTATAAAAATACAAATACAACCACCTCCATAGCAGCTGGGAAATACGAGAGATTCGCCGGAAAAATAACAATATTTTAATGACGTCACTATATGGACCAATACTGCCCAAGCAGACGACATCCCATAAAGAATGAACATAATTGCAAAGCTATTATTTCTCAAATTATAATGAGTTTAGTGTACATGTATATAAATGTACTAGCACGTCAAACCATTCAAAAGGGGATATGACCCAATTCTGATAACTGAAATCTTTTGCTTGTAAATACACAGGATAGGGGTTAATTAAAAATCAAAGAAACCAGACTTTCAAATTGAAAAACCCCCGGAATGATATTGAGGACAGCATTTTGTTCCCTCTTGAACCGCCGAACATACGTGGTGTGTACAGCTAAATATACAATGGCGTCTTATTTTGTTTACAAGCGACAGATTCCTTTATTTTTGTATCGCTGCATTTGTCATCAAAATAAAAACATGCGCGGGTTTAGAGTGAGGCAATAGATTATACATTTAGCCTGACGGTAGTAAAGAAAGAGGAAGAACTCAAGAGAAGATGAAAAAACAGGCACTGAAAATGCATGAGATGTCATGGGACATCGTCTGCTTGTGCAAATCATGTCCATACTGTGATCTCACACATCTCAGCAGCGTTCGGAGAGCTCTTCAGGTGCTACGCCGGGGCTGTATTTAAGCGTTTTGTAATTTATAATAATCATTAGTTCAAATGTTTCCAAGCATTGAATTTTGATAACCTTGTCGAATCAAAGTTTCAACTTTGCAATAATGAAAATAAAGTTAGTTTTTAAAATCAATGAATATCTACTTTAATGTCGACTAAGAATCTTTGTGAATCACCCCCCAGGGCTATTTAAAAAGTATTGTCAAAATCGCATTGTACCAAGTTTGGGCTGTTGGAACGAATGTGGGTTAGGCCATATGGATGTCTAAAACCCATTTACCAGTTATATGCCTCTTGTTTCTGAGCCTCATTGTTCAAAATAATCCAATGTACTGGTATCTATTGGTAGGCTTGCAAAGAACCTTGTTTCTATCCATGGGTCATTCCATGTCAAATCACCCAATGGTTTCAACCTTGTCATTTTTTATTTTAATGAAACTTAGTGAACTTGGTGAGTGTGATCTCACAGCACCAATTCTCAAATTTTAGGTCAATTTTAGGGGATTGGGAGATATGGCCCACCAAATTTTGAGATGTTCAGCAAAAATGGGTGTGGCCGCCTACCTTTGCCATCAATTTGAAGATTGGCACATGTTGGGGTACTTTGACCTATTGACCTAAGATTTGACCTTAAAATTGACATTGTGGATCACATGACCTTGACAACATTTTTCACTAAAACATATACAAGTTTTAGAGATATATTTTTTTGTTTAGGAGCAGCAAGGATTAAAACTATCCATACTCACAGATATTCACAATAAACCGTATTATAATGTGTATACAATACACCGTACAACTAACATCTTCCACATGCTTTTTTCTTTTAGTCATAACCATCCTAAATGTCAGCAGTACTTGAAAAGGAATAGAATGAGAAGTTCATATAGGCCTAAAGGGTTAACAGGATGTATGGCCTCGGGCCTCTGAGTCGGTTCTAGGACAAATACCCCATGTCTTTATTTTCTATTGCAGAGGGATGATTTTGATCTGATGTGAAAGAACCTCAGATGCTCATGAAGAAAACAACTTGTTGCAGTAATAAAACAGTTAAGGTGGCCAAAACCTATGCAGTGCTGATGGAAACATCTGGTCATCCAAATACTAAATGCTTGCTTGAGGAGGATGTCATCAGGACCAAGTTGCAGGTCTCAAAAGTTGCGGCTTCTGTAATGTTGCCATTTGTGAGTGGAGACATTGGAAGGATGTATTTACTGCATCATTGGAGTGTGTTGAAAGAAGATCTGATTCTGACCTCGGCCAAGCCCAATCTGTACTTATATAACAAAATCTATTTTCTATTTTCTACTTTCTATTTATTTTCTATTTATTTCTGTCTTTCATTCTTCTTGTGTCTCTCAGTGGTAGAGCAGTGGTCTTGTAACCGGGCGGTCCCGGGTTTGAAACCAAGCCAATGCGCTAGTGCCCTTTGGTAAGGCATTAATCCTCATTACCAAGTCCCTTGGAGAGGACTTAAAGCCGTCAGTCCCTTGGTTGCTTGTAAGTACAAGCACTCATATGCTTTCTTAGCAGTCGGGTAAAACAAGCAAACAAACCAAACCAAACCTTAAAGACCATCTCTGGCAGTGCTACTCTTTCCTGTTAAACTGTGCTCAAGCACAGTTCTTCGCAAAGCTGAGGAACTCAATAAGAAGGTGTTTAGATTGTCTAATGATGAAGAGCACTTCCGTCACAAAGTCCCAGGATGTAGGTCCTATGGTATGCCATCAAGCCTCACCAGTACCCTACCAGTAGAGGTACATGTCAAAGAGTCAGTGACACAAAGACGTACCGGTAACTCCATTTTGGCCATTTTGAAGAAAAATTGGTTTATGTGTCACTGAGCACTTGGGCCATAAGGAGTTTGTCCATGTTTCTCTAGCCATGTACTTCAATGGGGTGTTGCTTGGAGTTAAGTCTTTGTGTTTCCTGGAGAGCCCACATTTTTCTGAACATTTTGATATCAAATACTCATTTTGGCAAAATATGGAGTTACGTCTTTGTGTAACTGAACCCTCCATGAGATAATGAGTAGAAAGTCATGGACCTTTAAATGTTTAGATCACTAATGATAATGGATATCCTCACATTGGCAATTGAGACTTCATGTGTCATATGGTACATGTATATTGTAATTACTCCATTTTGTGTGTGCAAAAGGTTTAATAAACTTGATAAATGCGACTGCGTCTCTAATATGCCTCCTTCTATATGTATGTTCATCAGTGATGATGTGACCTGTAGGGTCTGACCTCACAAACTCAAACATTCATGTCATCTTTTCATGCTCGTACAGACATATACCCAAGCCCAGTTTGGTCAACACTGGTTCAACTTTTGTGAATTGTTCACGGTAATGAGATATTTATATAATATTGGATGAATTTGAGAGTGGTTCAAGAATATATTGCTCAAGTTTTTTTGGATATAAGAAGGTTAAATATCAAAGGTCATCAAGTCAATTTACATGAAATGAAAGGATTTTAAACCTTGTTACATGTATGAGTTATGACCAAATCTATTACTATTTTAAATGTTTTAGCTGTGATATTAAAACCTATAATGAGTATGCATCACTTGTAGAGACACAAGAGATCAGATTTTGGCATTGTCGGGTCAAAGATCAAAGGTCTAAGGTCATAAAGATCATTTGACATGCAAGTATAGGCTGTTTGTTCTCAGGGTATTAGTTGCTCTTTACCATGTAATATGGTTTAAGGTCAAGTATGTTATAACTTTTTTAATATGTGACGGTTAATGTTAAGTAATTCAAGTGCAAAACTGGTGTAGCAGTAATCTATTTACATGTATCGTATCATTTGTTATCTCACCTGAACATAAAAGAAGATAGTGACTTCCTTGGAAGTTATTTTAGTATCTTATATACTCTTTTTTTTTAAATTTTTTTTTTGATGTTTTTTTCTTATGATACTTTTAAATATTTTGTTTATATGAAGGAAGTCAGCATTTCCAAGAATACTCCATTATTGTCCTTGTATATGACATTCTGTGTATTATATCATCTTTAAAGCCCAACTGCACTACTTATAGCTACTTGCACCCTCTATGTAGCAAACAATGTTTAATTGGTGCCTGTTGGTCCCCCATGATCCCCTTTTTGTTATGTTAATTGAGAGTTGATTTGAAGAGATAACCACCCGCCAGTGACCTTACAGGAAGGTCTAATCCCTCTGGCAAAACTAGTGCAGGCGGGCTTTAATAGAGAGTCTATTTGCTTCCATGAAAATGTAAATAAAATACACTAAAACTAATAAAATATACTTTAACCATTTCATTTTGTGGTATTAGTGATGAAACAGTGTGTTGATCAATGTCATATAATATACATATACTATATAAGAAAAATTGTATTTACAGGCCAAACATTTTAAAGTAACTTCTTGCTTTCAATTCAAGATTTTAATTTTTTTGAAATGTAGACAAAATGATTATTAGACCTTGTGGATAGTAGAGGGTGCACTGCCAGTGGGGTATTTCTCCCGGGGGGGAGGGAGGTGTCCTTGGGGTTAAAAAAAATGGAGATGAAAGACATATACAGAAATAAGAGAGAGAGAGAGAGAGAGAGAGTATGTATTTGTGTCCGTTTCACTTTAAAATGGAAATCCACTCCCTGCCTAGTTAAAGGGGGCACCCTTTGAGTAGTACAGCGTTTTGCAGCTGGGATGCCTCCGCAAGTATTTTTGTTGTATTAAACAAAGATTTTGGAATAACGTCAACTACATGGAAACAAAGTATCAGAAACCGCAAGATGCCCAAATATATTATCTAGAGATCTTGGGTAATTTGATGAGGATATAAAATTCAAGAGATATTATAAAGTGTATATTTCCTCGTTTGCTTGCACAATTTAGACTCGGGGAGGCCCGTCGGAGCCGCTACGCTTAGTACGGGAATGACCGTACCACTTTTTAGCCTTGAATAACATCAAACGAACAAAATCAAAATAGAGAGAGATGGAAAGGGAGAAGAGAAAACGAAAGATAGATAGGGAGAAAAAAGATAAGAGAAATTGGGAAGGGTAGTATGTCTTGTAGGCTGATCGTAGGCTTATCACGAACATCGAAGTGACTTTGCCCTTTTTGCATCATTATGAAACGCATTATCACATAAACCGAAAAACAGCATATATGCCATCAAACTTTTTCACCCAATCGCAAATCTTAAAAATGATATCCTCAAGAAAATGATAAATTAAATCGTCACCAGACCGTGAATTAAATCTCCTCTTTATAGGTTAGGCCTATAAAGATTTTCCCGCCCATTTTCATAATTTTTAAATGTGCTTTCAATTCCAACATAGGCCTACCACTGGCGTACTGATTAGAGGGGGGGGGGGAGTTGACCCCAAATAAAATTCTACTACGTGGTTTATTTCTCTGAATTCGATACCAGTGATTTACAAAGTGTTGCTGAAATGACATGATTTTCCGGATTTTTTCTCACTTTTTCCTATTATGCCAGAAGCGGCACTCCGAATGGAGGGGGGGGGGGGTGGCACTGTTCTCCCCAATTTGTTTAGTAGGTACCATGGCCCCAAAGTGCTCCTTTTCTTTTTTTAATAACTGTCCTTCCTCTTTTCATCTCTGCCCGCGGCTTTTCATTTGCGAGAAATTTCCCCTTTCACCCAGGCTGATATTTTTGCCATCTTTTACTTTGATTTGTGCCCTTTTCCTTTATGAAAATTGTACTTTTCCGTCGCCGAGAACCCCTTCCATTTCTCACAAATTCCACTTTTCACCGTCTCTGATCATTCGCTAATTTTACTTTGACACGAGGACCATTTCTATTCGAATAAACTTTTAAGTGCCTAAATTCCTTTCTCCTTAACATGCACCCCTAATTCAAGGCTACTTAGAGCCCCTTTTTCTTTAATTTTCCCTACGCACTTACAGATGTTATAATGATGTTACTTATAAAAGAACACTACACCCAAATACCCGGACTGTAGGAGAAATGTTGATGTGTAGATCATAGAAAGCGAAAGGAGCCTATGTGGCGAAGCTAGGTCATCATATTCTGTCGTCATGAACCAGAGCCAGTACATCTGGAAATGGTCTTGATTCGAGCTCTTTAATTACTTTCACGATGGGTAAAATTAATTGGGCACTGTCAAACACTATGCCTGGTTTGAGTCCAGTGGCGGCGGTTTCGAGTTTGATACAAAATTAGGGAGTCTCATCTCACACTGAATATTCCAATTGAAAATAGGCTCTTGCGTTATTTTCGGTCTAGTCTAGTCTAGCGCCCTCTTTTGGTTAATTCACTTCATGATATCCATGTAAATATATCCGTAGGCTACGTGAAAAACATGCATGTAATTCTATCCAGAATTTGATTTTGAAACACCGCCTGTACGATCTGTTACTGTTTTGATGTTCATTGCAAACTACAGGGAAAGAAGGAGAGTAGGATTTTGGTGAGGAACGAAATAATTTTACATTCTAAATTTCTAACCTTGTAAAGTTGTAAGTAGAACTAGATCTAACTAAAATAATTGTAGGCGGCTAGATTCACCCATAGGCCTAGTTGCATTACTATCCTGAGTGACTGTGTATTGAAAGCTGAGTTATTGATTCTCAACATTTCGAACACCACTGTACAAAACTCAACTGATTTCACTCATAATCGGTACTTAAGTGGCGATCGATGACACCTTAGTAGCAGTAAAATACAATTTTTCAACTTTCCGATGTTAAAAAGGATAATTAAAAAATTCAAATTGTGAGTCTACTGTCGAACTCGCCGATCAGCCGCATCGGCATGATTTTGTGCATTTGCGTGTTGTGAGTGCATTGACTATTCATGTATTCAAATCCTGCCTGTTAACACGTAGTGCAGTGTTAGAGGTTAATACGCATTAGCATTGACTCTTCTATGCTGGACTGGAGTGGCAAGATGGTAGATTGTGAGTTGCTAATTAGTTGCTGCATACTGGGCCGGGTCGCACATGAATAAAATAAACATGCATGGGACTAGGCCTAGATCTAAGTCTAGTGAAAATATGAAATTTAACAATGATATCTCACCTAGCTAGGCCTAGCCTTAATGAGCACCCATACCCCTGCGTGATGAGGGAGTAAAAAAACAACTAGACTCTAGATCTAAATAGACCCTGCTATCCTGATAGTGATAACGTGTCTAAAAATAAAATGCCACATCAATGATCATCCGATGAACATATTTGCACACTGCACTGTATTCGGACACTCCAGCAAATCAGATAGACATCCGTCATCACGGTCATACATGTAGCTAACTCCAGGTCCAGGGAGCTCCGACGTCGACTAGAACAAGATCCTATAGGGCCATTTCCACTTGCATCCAAACACACACAAAAATGCCAAATCGGAGCCTGACGGCGATGTTTCAGTGATGTTTCCAAGGCAACTACGCATTACCAGCAAAAATGCCAAGCCCAAAACATTTCAAATCGAAGTGGGATGTTTTGGCGTGTGTGGCGAGTACAGCTGAAGCATAGCTTTAGGAGCAGGGCTAGCTTTTGTCCTTGAAAACTTATTTGCATAAAGCAAACAATTGTTAACGCTCAACCGGTAGGAAAGAGTCTTGGCTAAACTGCAAAATCTCACTTTAGAAACCACCAAATAAAATGTCAAATGGAAGAAGAAGAGTTGTCTCAACTCATAAATATTGCAATTTAGTTGTCAAACCATGTTTTAGTTATTGAAAACTGAGCGAAACAAATACTTTTTACATGATAAATCAAAGTATATTACAGCTCTCCTCTGAATATCTTTTCATAATTTTATGTCCCACGGTCATTTGGGGGACAAATCGAAGGCAATGTCAACAACATGCGTAGTGGTCCCATCATTGGGGATACGTGCAGTCGTGCAGTAACCTGTAGTCCAACGTACCATGCAGAACTGTTTGTGCTGGACTCGGTGTGTATGGATCAAGTTGTTGGTTTTGTCTTTGTAATATCCCGAGTTAAACATGCCGATGTAAGGTCAAAATTTAGTCAAACAATGATTTATAAATAAATTGGTATGGGTACTGTGAAAATATTGTTGAGTTGCTGCAACTGTGAACTGTAACTCAATCGAGTTCACTGGACTGCAGCAATTTGCATCAGGAAGACCGCACATGCACATTACCAACCAAAACACGCCAGAACATCACTGACCTTTTCAGTTGGTGATGTTTCAGTACAAATGCAAACGGGAGCGCAAAACAAAGCGATTTTTCTAAATGAGGTATTTGACAGTATAAATGCTCCTTATATTACTCAAAACTCAATCCCAATTTATATACAGTGCATCCCAGAAAAAACGAAACCGGGAATTATCAATGTTTTATCATAACTTAATCACAATTATATTTAATAAATGTCACATATTTGCAAATCTTAGATATAGTTATTCCTCTATCATTTGATGCATATTTGAAATGAGGGGACCAAAAAGTCATTTGGCGAACAGTATCTGAATTTCAAAGAGAAAATCAAATTTCTAGAAAGTTAAATTTCTGCCCTTTCATATGACACCTCAACCAGGAAAAATGAGCCAGGAATAAAAAAAATTCTGTTTGTTTAAAGTAATGCTTGCATTTCCATAATTTCATGAAACTAATTTCTTTTCACTGGCTGGTCTGCCGTAGCAACAAACAGAGTTGACGATCAGTTTGTCTTCTTTGAGTAAGTAACAGATTAGCAATGCAAAAACAGGCGCATGCACAGAGTTCGTGACGAAGGGTACAAAATTGAACTGCGCATACGGGCCTCCTTGTTATGATTAGATCTTATCATAATGCCTGAAACTGCACAAAATTTGGTATGTCTAAGAAAATTCTTCTTTCTTCTGTTAATTTCTCATCATTGCCATTGCACGTTCATCTTCATTCAGATCAACCAGCTCTGAAGAGGCTGCCGAGGGAACACACCTGTCTCTCTACATGTAAAAGCAGCATGGAGGTGATGCAACTGTTCACACTGCCCCTCCTCCTCATCCTTTGTGGCGATGTAGAGCTCAATCCTGGCCCTTTGCAAAAAGTGACAAGGATTTCATCAGCGACCGTGTCCAGAGCGTAAGGATTGGAGCATAAATGCTCATTTTAACTCACAGTTTTGGGGATAATAATTTTTTTATCATTATTATAATTACTGTTTTCAGTATTGCATTGACGACTTTCGTCAATTCATTCTGAATTCTTATTCTATGTCTTCTTGATCTTACGCCAAAAAACCCATTTGTTTTCCATGCTGTGCTTGTTAATCCAATCTAGCCCGATTCCTTTCAAATGTTTTAGTCATAGTCTCTAGCATCCCATCAAGGCCACTCAACTCTTTGTCTTCCAAAATCACTCTTGCATGACTATCCAGGCATCATTTTGTCTTTTCTGGCCATTTTTTAAGCCTTTCTGTCGGCCTACCTATCTCCACTGTATCTTAGATGCTACAGACTTTTAACAAATTTCTCTGCACATCGTTCTAATACGATTGCAGTTCTTTATTATTATTAGTTGTACAGTCAAACCTGTCTATAGCCACTGCCCAAGGGAAACACAAAAAGTGGCCTTTGTAGACAGGTGGTCTTTGTAGACAGGTTCCTTTAGTACATGATTCAATCAGAAACCATTTACAAGGGAAACGACAAATGGGGCCTTTATAGACAGGTGGTCTTTGTAGACAGGTGGTCACTAAAGCAAGTTTGACTGTAGTACGGTATTGTTTATCTAATTATCCCCCCTCGCCGAAGAAGTCGGAGGGGATATAGTTACGCTGCCGTCCGTCCTTCCTTCCGTGCGTGCGTCCGTTCGTAACAAATTTGGTTTCCAATCGATAACTTTAGTAATGTTTGACGGATTTTAATGAAATTTAAAGGTATATGGTATCAAAACACAGCCTAAGTTCAATTTTCGACTACCTAGGTCAAAGGTCATAGCTCATTAAATAGGCGAATCTGGTTCCCGATCCATAACTTTAGTAATGTTTGACAGATTTTAATATAATTTAATATGAATGTACATGGTTTCAAAATACATGTACAGCCTAAGTTCGATTTCTGAGTATGTAGGTCAAAGGGGAAAGGTCATAGCTTATTAAATATGCAAAAACACCTAATTATATATGTGAAAATGTGGTTAACTTCCTTGCCTTGTAATATAATAGTATAGTCCAATGGAGGTAACTTGTTCTGACGTATATAGGCCATTTGTACCCTGCGAGGGGATGCTACGCTTTGCGTTGACTTGTTATCAATATTATTGTTGTTAGATGCTGCTTATTAGTATCAGCTTGCATGGTGATGTAGAAGTACAGTAGGCTTGTTGTTGTTATGTTATTGTTATCTTTAACATGAGAGAACTTGTTGACATCGATTTCTTTAGTCCAAAACCTGATGGCTCTCAGGAAACCGACATGCTGACCGACCAAATGACGGAAAGCGAGATCTGGACCAAAGCCATGTTCTACACCGAAGCCGATTGGACGTACGTCGGCAACGACCTCGGCTACAATGCCAAGGAGCTCCAGAACTTTCGGCAGCACTTTCCACGTCTTCAAGATGCCTATTTCAAGATGATTAAATTGTGGCGCGACAACGGAGGGGTCAGGAGAGCCGGAGGTTCCATCTACGTTAAGAAACTCACCATGACGTTCAACAGAACTCGTAAGTTTGCTTTGGATTTCATGTCCAGGGGGGTGTTTCACAAAGATCCTAAGTTGAAATTATCTCTAAGATGGACTTAACAGTTATGGAAAGCCGTTAGCATCTATGAAAATATTTTGTAAAAGTTATTTTATAAGGCATAAAATGTTGATTCAAATCATTCATATTTCCTATTATCAAGGAGATTTCTTGTTGTTGATATGGAATTTAGAAAAAAGTCTAAAATATTTGAATTTTTCGCTTTTTGATATATTTTGTTTGAGGCTACAAATGGCTCACCATAATTTATTTTTTAAGTCCAACTTAGAGTTAAGTTCGACTTAGGATCTTTGTGAAACACCCCCCCCCCCCCCCCCCTCCCAGTTGTAGTCTGGGGTGGTGCTAGACCATGAGGGGATTGGGGGTGTTACACCAAGAGAAAGTCAGGCCACAATAAATTCTTAAAAGCTTGAGGAAAAAAAAGCTTTCTTATGATTTGAGTCAGAGTCTTGTGCAGACGTACATGTACAGTGTATGTCCCAAATAAAAGAAAAAGTAAAAGAATTTTATACCCCCTCTTTAGAAATCTAGCCATCTGATTGGTTGAAATTGCAGTCGTGATTTTTAGATATTCCCTTAAAGGTGAAATTCAAAGAAAATCACAAATATGTCAACTAATGTATCACTAGAAACTGGTAAGCTAACAGATGGCCATCGTACAAGTTTGAGGTCAGCTACATATCGGGTGATTTATAAAAATACAACCACCTCCATAGCAGCTGGGATATACGAGAGATTCGCCAGAAAAATAACGATGTTTTAATGACGTCACAACAGGGACCAATACTGCCCAAGCAGACGACATCCCATAAAGAATGAACATAATTGCAAAGCTATTATTTGTCAAATTATAATGAGTTTAGTGTATATAAATGTACTGGCACGTCAAACCGATCAAAAGGGGACATGACCCGATTCTGATAACTAAAATCTTATGCTTGTAAATACACAGGATAGGGGTTAATTAACAATCAAAGAAACCAGCCTTTCAAATTGAAAAGCCCCCGGATTGATATTAAGGACAGCATTTGTTCCCTCTTAAAACGCCGAACATACCGCGGTGTCTGCAGCTGAATATACAATGGCGTCTTATTTTGTTTACAAGCGACAGATTCCTTTATTTTTGTATCGCTGCATTTGTCATCAAAATAAAACCATGCGCTGGGTTTAGAGTGAGGCAATAGATTATACATTTAGCCTGGCGGTAGTGAAGTAAGAGAAAGAACTCAAGAGAAGATGAAAATACAGGCACTGAAAATGTGTGAGATGTCATGGTACATCGTCTGCTTGTGCAAATCATGTCCCTGCTGTGATCTCACACATCTCGGCAGCGTTCGGAGAGCTATTCAGGTGCTATGCCGGGGCTGTATTTAAGCGTTTTGTAATTTATAATAATCATTACTTCGAATGTTTCCAAGCATTGAATTTTGATAACCTTGTCGAATCAAAGTTTCAACTTGCAATAATGAAAATAAAGCTAGATTTAAAATCAATGAATATCTACTTTAAAGAGACGAACAAATGGTCGATACTTCATGAGTGATATCCGTTGCCCCGGGTAACAGGCCAGATACATGTAAATCAATTGTGCTCAGATCCCCATTGGTTTGCGTGTTAACATTTTCTTTGTGCGAGCGCAGACACCATACCATACTCTTTGTCTGCGATTCCCAAATAATAATGATAATAAATGAGATTTAAATAGCACCATTATCCATTTTTAAATCAAATGCTCAAGGCTAATGATAGAAACTTCCAGTCATTTTTCTAGCCAAGACAAACAGAGAGTTTATCTTAACTCAATAAAAGGATAAGGTAAGAATTCTTGGTAAATTTCAATTTTCAATTCAGCATATAAAGACATAATGACTACTTTAATATTTGAGACCTGGCTGTTTTATATGCTCTCGGGAACTTGGACATCCTTCCATGACCCTTCGGCACGCCGCCCACCCAGACGTGCCTCAGGGTCATGGCAGGAGGTGCGCGCGTTCCCTTGAGCATATAAGACAGCCAGGCCTCTCAAAGCAGTCGATATCTCTATAATATGCAGCATAATCGCCGTGCCGATAACCATTTTGAATTGCGGGTTGGATCATAATTGTCGTACCAAATTTTTGTCAAGTCTGGCAAATATGTTACCAGAAAAAACAAAAAGTACAAAAAAAGTTTCATCAAAATTTTAATTTTCCTTTGTAGTTTGTCTCATTCAAGCTCTGGTAGGGCTATCAAGCATCAACTGGGTAGAAATATCGGGAATACTAATAAACTAATTATGATATTGGCAGCGTGTAAAAAATCTAGCAATTACCTTGGATTTGCCTATTAGGCATGTTTCTTTGTGCCTTTCGTGATGTACTATTGCTTTAAAGGTACCATGTCCCTTTTGCAGCCAACCTCAAATTCTGTAGAACTTTGCAGGAATTATGAATATGTCATGTATGTCCTATTTGTGAAATTTAAACGTTAGCAGTGTCCTAGTATTCAAATTATGCAAGGAAACCTGTTTACTTGCTAGACTTCACTGTCAGATACTATTGAGTGACTGACTGGCTTTTTTCTTCTTTGGTAATAACATACATAAAATGAGCTGTAAAGGGTACATGAGCATTTGTCTACATCAATAACCCACTTCTTGTGATGGCCAAATTAAACTGATTGAATCTTTGCGCAGCATAAAACGTATGACCATTCGGTACAATGGCCTGAAAATCAAGACTATTACTTATTGGTTCTATAGCTCCAAAGTCGATTTGACAACTAATAGTAGTTATTTTCCCTCTTGAAAACATTTTCAAGTCCCACCTTTTTTAGGGAAGTTCTAAATTAGTATTATCTTTCAAATGCCGTTGAAATTTAACCTTTTAATTTTTGGGGCCTGCAAATGGGACATAGTACCTTTAACACTTGAGGCTAAACCTGATACCTCTAGTTTGGTCATTTGTCCTGAGTCATCCGTTTTTTTTTAGTCATGAACCTTTTTAGTCTACCATTTCACTTCCATTTTTCTTTAAAATTGATTTTACATGTTCAATTTGTATGAGGTTATAAGGGACATGAAAATAATGAGTTAAGTACACCAAATACTTGAGAAATAAAATTGTACAAAGTGCATTGTCAAAGGATGTGATGAATGATCTAAAAAAAAAAAAAAAATGAATATTTTACATTAGAATGATAAGTAATATATAACTTTTTAAAAATTAAAAATTGATTGATTTCGTCGATTTTTGGAACCATCATCAGAAATTTCATTTCATTTCATTGATTGACCAGTTCAACCATTTTTTTAAAACAACATTCAGAAATACAAACAATGTTCGAAGGACAAATACAAAACCTGTTAGTAAAAAATGGTTAGGGAACCTGAGAGAAGCTTAAGCTTAAAGTGGGGTTCCCTGTCCAATAAACAAGTAAAATTGTATAGGCATTCACAGGCTATAAGGGAGTTAACAGATACAATCTGTGCATGAGCAGATAAAGGTCATTTGTACCAAAAAGGTAAAACCCACAGAGATGAATACTAGATATGCGCTCATGAAAGTTATGTAACATTATTCATTTATGCACCAACAATACATTCTAGGTGGAAGTATTCTTTTCAAGAGGGCAAACAAAAGGTATTCATGAAAAACATCTAGGACTTTGGCAGTTATTATTCTAATATGCTCAAAGTGGAACTTCTCCATGTGTAAAAGATCTGTGAATATTTGGGGTCATTTGTACCATGTGCTATCTGTAAACTCCCTTATTACATTACGCCGCACAGGCAGAACAATGGGCTCAGCAGACTAAGCCGACTTGACCAGGCGGAGGCAGCGCCTCAGTGCATCTAACGAACACCGACCAGTGCTATGTAATACAAAATCATGTAAAAAAACATACACCCACACCCACACACACACGCGAGAGTGAGATAGAAAGGGGAAGAAGGGTGGGGGGGGGGCAAGAGATTAGGAAAGGAATAAAGAGAGATGAAGAATTGTGAAGAAATATTGCACAAATTATTATGAAGATTATTTAATTGAGAGCAGAAAAGCATTACGACAAAGCGTTTTAAAACGGGTGGTGACTACAGTCAACATCAATCCCTTCCCATGTAAACTACACTGGTTCTTCAAGTTATTTCTTTGTGAAAATTGTGATTTAAGTGTAAAATATTGATTCACTAGTGAATTTTGAAGGTGATTTGGTTTAGTTTTCCTTCAACCTTTGCGTAATGTCAGTTAGAAACAACTAGGACAAAATGTAACGTAACTTACGTAAGTTACTTGATTTCATAAATGCGTATACAATTCTATGTGAGTACTGCTCCACTGAATTGATGTTTCGTTTGAGGCAATTAACTTCTTCATTATGGCTTTAACTGTCTTGATAAACATTGTAGATAAGTACAAGTATAATAGTGGATGTCATAAATTTGAATAAACAGGAAATATTGAATTTGATATGCAAACAATGCTGTTTTTATTTCCTATTTTCCAATATTTCCTTGTATTGAACTATTGCCATCATTTTATAAATAGAGTGTACCAGTAACCGTAGTGGCCACCTCTGTATAAAGGCCACCTGTCTAAAGTGGTCATCTATAATTCTATATTGTCTCCCTCTGTTGTGTTTCTCCTGTGTGGCTTCATTAGACAGGTTTGACTGTAGAACACTATTGTGAGTATTTGATAATGATGCTGAACTACATATTAGGCCTGTCTTCATCATCTTGAGTTTGCCAAATAACCCGTTATTTTAACCATCCCTTTAGCAAATTATTGAGCTAACTTGCGTCTTCATCAGCCCGCGGTTGCAATTAGCTGGATATTTGGTTGAGAAAATATCCTGAGAAATCTTGGTCTTGTTTCCAAAATATCTTGCTACCGGTATTTGAGAAATAGCAGGCTAATTTGTGCCCGTCCATGGCTCAGAGCTAGTTTGTGATGTGCACATCGGTCTGATGCAGACACAAT